ACCCTAAAAAGATCTGGATAAACAGGGACAGAAAAGAAAACCTAATCGGATGGAATAACAAACATAACGACCATGCATGCTCTGGTGCATGACACATCAACTAAATACCTGGGCTGCACCACCGCAAATGCTCTAGATAGAGGAGAACACATCAATATCAGCACAGGTAAAACCAGTTGAAACCTTGGTTTCTTATGCCGAAACCTCCACATCAGCTCAGAATTCATGAAAGAAAATGCTTATAAGACATCAGTTAGACCACACATGGGAGACTTCTTTTTCGGCGGCTTCCGAATACGGGATAAGGCTCCTAGCTAGGAGAATAAAACAACCCGAAAGACATGGATGACTATGATTTCATTCTTAGCACAACTAAAAAAACATATCAATTGTTAACTTTAAGTTTTACCTATTCAAGAGAATTATTAAACATACTTTAATTTAATTTTAGTAAGCTTGTTCGATGATATATTTATCAAATATGTTTCCATAACAAACAATGAGTGAAAAGGACATGTTTTAGGGTTAAAAAGGTATATATACGAAACAGAAATAAAGCAGATGTATCCCAAACTGTGCGTGCGTGTGTGTGAGAGGTGGCGTGCGTGTGTGTGAGAGGTGGCGTGCGTGTGTGTGAGAGGTGGCGTGCGTGTGTGTGAGAGGTGGCGGGGAGTGTAAACGGTAATCAAAAGTAAAAAGTAAAAATAAGAAAATAATCATAACAAAAAATAATCATAAGTTGTAAGTAAAAAGGGTGAAATACTTACTCCGAAAGGTAAAGACAAATTCCTTCTTTTCGTTTTCACATGTGGCAGTTGTAAAATTACTAGGAGTAAATCACAACCGAGAACACACGAATGGGTCTTGACAACAATCACTAATGCATGCTTTAAATTCTGTTAAATTGGAAACATATTAAGAGACTGGAAGAAGAAATCAGATGCAAATGTTAAATTTCTCTAAATTAATCCAATACTTGAAGCTAATTTAAGATTGTCCATTAAAATTTCAATCTATGTAATCATGAAAACTACAAAATCAAAAAGTAAATGATAAATTTAAACTTACATCTTAAAACCTCAAACGCAGAATAATGTCAATTTTTCATACATAAATAATTATATTAATTCTATGAAATGGTGTAGGAAGCCTACCAATAAATTATTTAATGATGATAGTAAATGAGTCATCCTGTTATTATCTTATTGGTTCTTCTGTCCGAATACAATCATAAATAATTGTAATAATCTAGGAATTCATTTTGTCAAAATGAGACGCATCATTTAAGCGCTATATGATACTTTATAAATCGCTGGAGATATTTTGCATACAATCTAAGATATCCAATGTTAAACGGAATAACTTCAATAGACAATAAAGTTTGTAAATTCAAACGTATACAAACTTGATTTCTGTTTTTGATGGAAAACTATTCATCTGATCAGTTTTCACGCCTTTTTGTTACAAATAACAATCTTTTTATACTGAAATCGTTTTTTCCCCTATTTTAAAGTAACATCATCATCATACATAAGGCGAAAGTAGTTTACTAATGTTCAAATCTTGTAAATCGATTAAGAATAGACAAGTCAAGGAAACAAACAAAAACTGAGGGAATCGCATAAACTTTAAAAGGAGCGACACCTGGAGGGTAAGTGTCTATGTAAAATGACCTGCCATATATAAAGAGTGAAGAGGCATCAGTTGAAATGAACAAGAAGAAGGGTGACATTTGTTGAGCAGGAATACTCAACCTTCCGGATTATCCGAGTTCAACAACAGTTTGGTGGGGTTCGTGTTGCGCCATTTTAAGTTTTCTGTGTAAGTATTTTTGGACGACTGTTGTTTGTTTTATCTCTTTTAGAGGCGGCATTATCGGTCTTTCTCATTGTTTTTGTTTATTACTCCCGTGTTATATCTTACTCGATATCGCCCAAAATACCACACACAATCATCTATCAACAACTTTATTGGTAAATCTATTGACCTGAATGAGGATTCATAAATGCTGTTTGTTTTTGTCGAAATATTCAAAAGTAACGCCAATTTAATCATGTTTAAAACTATTAGTTTTAACTCAGAATAATTATGGTTATATTTATCGTTTAAGCTTTATAGACAGTGTTATCAAATACATTTCAAAATGTAGGATGAAGTTTTAAAGAGTATAAGAGTTCTGACAAGAAAAATGATATCACCTATAATGCTGTAAATTTTTGAAAGATGTCTTCCTTGAAGAACAGAAACAACCCAACCAATACATAAAAAGATTAAACTGTTCCGGACGTGGTACCATTTGCCACTATTGTATATCAAATTATCGGTATCAAGCACCATTGACGAGAGATAAATTTTCCAAATGCACACGTAGTGCATGAAGTTACTTCAGTATCTTGTAATTTTGTATTCAGAACAATAAATCAACAATTAGTGGACACTATTAGGAATTCCTATTACTTTCCCATTCATGTTTCGTTCTAAATGGGACATTTATGTTCACAATTGAATCTAAAGAGTGTATTTTATAATAAACAGAAGTCGATAGTGAGTAAACTACAACAAAAATTTTTATCTGGCGTCCATTCTAGAGATACTGCTTGATTTTGAAAATTTATGATTTGTTATTCCACAGTTATGGGACTTTGACAGTCAGATTAATAAAAGTCAATATTCTACTTATCATGCACTAGAACTAGTATGCTTGGATCATTTTACTATAATCTTTACACTGTTAATTTGCTGGTAGTGGTTAATCTAGACTCGCTTTGGATTTTGAAAACTTTATGTTTTGTCGTTCCAGAGTTATGGGACGTTTAAAATTCACCTTTGACGCAACATTCATTTGCATATGGATATCCTCATGCATGTTTTCCTACACAGCCATTTTATACTAACTTGTTATTTGATGCACCTAAATATCCCAAAATTCTAACAATTCTAATGCGAAGAAATCAACTGCTCTTGACCTAGATGGTTTTTGTATATTATTTGGTTTTATAACACGGAATACATGTATTATGAAGATCATTGGCAATAATATGTATTTTAAGTATATGCATATATGATCATATATAGTCAGATGAGCTCTCAGAAACGGGTTCATCTTTCCACTTATCAATATGAATTTGACTGAGACGACATTATATAGTAAGGTAAACCAGTAAAGGCAAAATTATTTCATGATTGATCGGATCTTGAATACCCATACATCCGGGACATGTTCCCAATTCTATAGCTCATTCTAGCCAATAGAATCTTTCCCACATCATCAGGCAACCAATGAGAATCGATATTTGTTATGTAATAATTTTAAGATGGCGTGAATATCGTACAAAAATAATAGCTTCGCATCTTGATGGGAAGGTGGGGCGTTTGTCTTCCTGCTGACAGTATTCCGGTGTACTAGCACTTTGAAGTCCTGCATTAACAGTAGGCTAGCACAAAGCAGTCAAAATAATGCATACACCCGTTGGTTTTCTTTTATTTCATTTTACTTATTCATTTCTGTTATGTACATATAAAACCTTATACTTATTTATTTTTCTTAAATTCACATACACATCATTATTTAGGCATATTTGGGTTTATACAAAATATTTTGGCTACTAAATTCACATACACAATTAAGCATATCAAATTTCTCCGCTCTTTACTTGGCTGCTGGTGTACCATGACAACGTTGCTGCCGCTCACTGTCGTTTGCTTGGCCTTTTCTCCTGTTCCGGCTTTTGGTGGCTTTTACTTTTTACATTATTTTTATTCATGTTATGGTTTTTTTTTTCTTTTTGTCTCTCAAAATTATATCAATTACCATAAGGTAAAAATATATTATTTAAATGCCCAAAAAGGCACAAGCCAGGGCCGACCGTGCAAGACCCTCATGTGTAGTCAAGGTCGTTAAAATCCCCCTCCCCGTCGTTGATGGGAAGCAAAACTATATTTTAGAAGCAAAGTTATTTGTGTCGAATTTTCATTTTCCATCAGAATTTAATTGAACGTATGTTATTTGTTTTCTGTTAACAAACTTTTTGTCTCTTTATCATAGTAAGACTTTGTCTAGCGTTTACAATTCTAAGCTTACAAGAATCTGTCGAATCTAGTTACTAGTATGTGAATAATGGACTAAAACAGCAAATGGTAATACCAACACCAAAGTTGTATGGGCATGGAAAAAAGTCTGATAAACATGGTAGATTATTTAGATTTTGAATTTCGAATCGAATGATCAATTCGTACTACGTATGTGTCTGTACTAAGTCAGGAGCCTGTAAAAGAGAGGCGTAAGATACCGAAGGGACATTCACAATCATTAGTCGGAAAAACCTACAATGTCATGGCAAAAAACGAAAAACGATTAAAAGATCAGGGGTTGTCGTTTGTTGGTGTATATCATTTGTTTTTCGTTAATCGTTTTGTTTGTAAATCAGGCCGTATGTTTTCTCGTTTGAATTGTTTTACATTTGTCATGTCGAGGCCTTCTTTATCTTGCTGCTATGTGCTATGTGTTTTGCTCATTGTTGAAGGCCGTACTTCTACGATGGAAAGTTGTCTCATTTCTGCAATGATACCATATTTTCATATTTTTATACGAATGTATCATTACATCTCTGAAATTTCGTGTTGTCCAAATAGAAAAAAGATTATGCAATATCAAGCATCAAAAATGTAAAACATTTCTTGAATATCTGATTGACTCATGTTCCTTCTGACTATTTAATGTGTGCCATATATTTACCCTTTGGTAGCATTGAATTCACTATGAGTGTTACGTGAGTATTTTATTTTTTATGATATCCTTTCTGATGTTCAGGGTTCTAGCGAGTTTGTTTATTTACTGTTTTGTCTTTTTTGGGGTTTTGTGTGTTATTCCACTATCGAAAAGAACGATAAATAGTTATAAAGATTATGAAAGGTAATTAGCAATAGAAGTAATATAAATGTTAGGGCAAACGCAGTTATGTCAGTTATAAGTCAAGTTTTAAATTATAAGACTCCAACTGTACACGTTGCTTAAATTTATTTATTTTTTTGAAACAACAGTCCTGATTTTTTTATTGTTCAGTTAGTTTAATATTCTTCTCCTTCTTCCTCGCCTTCACCTTCAACTGAATCTACACCGACTTCTTCGTAGTCCTTCTCTAGAGCAGCCAAATCTTCACGGGCCTCTGAGAATTCTCCTTCTTCCATGCCTTCTCCGACGTACCAATGGACGAAAGCACGCTTGGCGTACATCAAGTCAAATTTGTGATCCAGACGGGCCCATGCCTCAGCAATGGCAGTTGTATTGCTCAACATGCAGACGGCTCTCTGTACTTTAGCCAAGTCACCTCCTGGTACAACAGTTGGTGGTTGGTAATTGATTCCGACTTTGAAACCAGTTGGACACCAGTCGACGAACTGGATTGTTCTTTTTGTCTTGATTGTAGCAATAGCGGCGTTGACATCTTTAGGGACAACATCTCCTCTGTACAACATACAGCAAGCCATGTATTTGCCGTGACGTGGGTCGCATTTTACCAATTGATTAGCTGGCTCAAATGTTGCGTTAGTGATCTCAGCAACAGAGAGTTGTTCGTGGTAGGCTTTCTCAGCAGAGATGACTGGTGCATATGTGGCCAATGGGAAATGGATACGTGGGTAAGGTACCAGGTTGGTTTGGAACTCAGTCAAGTCGACGTTCAGAGCACCATCGAATCTGAGGGAGGCAGTAATTGAGCTAACGATCTGTGCAATCAAACGGTTAAGGTTGGTGTATGTTGGTCTTTCAATGTCCAAGTTACGTCTGCAAATATCGTAGATGGCTTCATTGTCTACCATGAATGCGCAGTCGGAGTGTTCAAGAGTTGTATGAGTGGTCAATATGGAGTTGTATGGTTCTACGACGGCAGTGGAGACTTGAGGTGCTGGGTAGATGGCGAATTCCAGTTTTGATTTCTTTCCGTAATCCACACTAAGACGTTCCATGAGAAGTGATGTAAATCCTGATCCAGTACCACCACCAAAGCTGTGGAAGATGAGGAATCCCTGGAGACCGGTACATTGATCAGCCAATTTACGAATTCTGTCCAAAACCAGATCAACAATTTCCTTTCCGATAGTGTAGTGACCTCTGGCGTAATTGTTTGCAGCATCCTCTTTTCCTGTGATAAGTTGTTCTGGATGGAAGAGTTGACGATATGTACCAGTTCTGACCTCATCTGAAATGCAAAATTACACTATCAATTAATATGTAATTTGTTGAAAAAGATTTTCAGAAAAAAAACCCGCAATGTTTTAAATGTATGTACAATGTTGTTCGGTCGTCGACGTCTAGTTATCTTATGAGCAATTATACCAAATATTTATTACTAATATAAATTTTACTGTGCGTATTGCTGTTTGTTTATTCCACATTGGCTAGAGGTATTAGGGAGGGGGGCTGAGATCTCACAAAACATGTTTAACCCCGCCGTATTTTTGCGCCTGTCCCAAGTCAGGAACCTCTAGCCTTTGTTAGTCTTGTATGTTTTGTTTTGTTTTTTTTTAATTTTGGTTCATTTATATGTTTCGGAGTTTAGTGCGACGTCCATTTTCGCTGAACTGGTATACATTATTGTTTGGAAGCCAGCTGAAGCACGCCTCCAGGTGCGGTATTTTCTCGCTGTGTTGAAGACCCATTGGTGATCTTGGGCTGTTTTCTGTTCTTTGATCGGGTTGTTATCTCTTTAACGCATTCCCCGTTTCCATTCTCAATAATATCAACATACTGGGTCACAGCATTTGTCATTAACGTATATATTCAAAAGAAAATTATTTATCAATCTTATACAAATTGCTTTCATAGTTAAAAGCATATCTTTGTGAATAAACATGTAAAAGTTGCAATGTAAACATTTTATTTAGATAGCACACAATGCACGATTCAATATAGTGTGTGAGGACAGACATGTGTAAATAAATGCAGACCTATGTAAATAGGACTAAAGTTTGTCTATTCAAAAGTATTTCAAAAACGGGAAGTAGGCCGAAACAGTTAAAAGAGTAAAATTTACTTTTTTGTCACTGACAAACACGTATTTAAACGTTCTATTGATTTACATTATGCAATCGTGTATTCAACAAAAAGATATAAATGGTTATCGTATATATATGTACTTCAGAAGTGGTTTTCAATCCAAGATTTATGATTTCCTACAAAGATCTATTATCCATATATTGCTAATAAAATAATTATGATGTTGTGTTAAACTTCTTTCATATATAGAGAGAAAGAGATCAACGAGAAATTATCTAATATCATGTATAATTTCTATGCAAGTATTTTATATGTCCGTAGTTTAGTCTGTTGCCGCTCGCCCAAAGAAAAAAGTCAAAATCATTATTTGCTTTGTAAATTGTGCAAAATGTCACTGATTATTATATTGAATAATATTTCATTAGTGCAGTTGCAAAAAAAGTTTAACCTTGACTCCTAGAAACCGACAGATATCTGTATGTATAAGTGTTTGTCTAGGAAAAGAAGGGACGAGGTGCATTGATTCTTGACATTAATTCCCCCAAAACACTAAACTAAAAAGCAAAAAATCATCGCGTTTACTGTTTTTCTTCATCTCGTAGTCATTATGAGGCCTTATTCCACGGAGCAAAATATTAACACTTCACTGCAAGTTCAAGACGTCTCTTTGTAAGAGATGAGCAGTTAAATAAAACATTGTTCACATTACTTTTACTATTTTGTATTTAAAAAAAGTGTACCCTTATTTTAAACTTACCGACTACAGTTGGTTCCAAATCAACAAAGACAGCCCGGGGTACGTGTTTGCCAGCTCCTGTCTCGCTGAAGAATGTGTTGAAGGAGTCATCACCACCTCCAATGGTCTTGTCTGAGGGCATCTGACCATCAGGTTGGATACCGTGCTCCAAACAGTACAGTTCCCAACAGGCATTACCGCACTGTACTCCGGCCTGTCCGACGTGGATAGAAATACATTCCCTCTGAAAAATACCAATGTAATAGAAGATGATGAATCTCGTAAATGAAGGTTACATTCAAATGTGCATTGAAGGTCATTAGAGGACGAAGAATATACCTTGTTGATCGTTTTTGTTTCCGAAATATGCAGCCATCCATTATTGCAATTATTAATGTAATATTTAAGTAAGCAAAATATAAGATAAGAAAATTAATGAAATATCAGTTCAGTACTAGTAATTGTTATACATCAAATCGTTCAAACAAAAAAATTAGAAGACAAATAAGATCTTTTGACCTTTATATTTGACGGTGATATTTGAATAAAAATAAAAGATAATAAAATCGATTAAAGTATACAAAAGTTACTTACCATGCTTAAAAATTAAATAGACTGGTATCCAAGTTCAACCAAGAAAACTCACTTATAGACAGCAATGCGTCTCTTGTGAGAGGTACCTTGTGAAATGCCAAAATCGGACCGCCAGTCGGTTTTATATTCCGGAAAACTCTTGTTCAGTCGTGTTTGACATCTCCATAGTACCAACAGAACCAAAACTCGTCTCTTTATTAATCATACTCTTATCAAACACATGGTAATGGACGGGTGACAAATTCTGCATTGGTTTTAAATCGTTTTGACCCTTTTATTGATCAAAGTCTACTGAAGTTAAATTAATCATTGTTAATAAGATAAATTAAAAGATTTTGGACGTCGCGTAGACGTCTATCTTGAGCCAAAATCTAACAAACAATTGTAACATTTGTTATAACTGTTATAAAGTTATTCTAGCAACTAATAGGTCAAATGGAGCTGAAAGATTTATATATCGATTATGATGGACAAAATTATAGGAAACTTCTGGAAATAATTACTACTGAAAACAGATGTCTTCCGTGTCATTTTTGTGATTTTTTTAAAAGGTAAACAACTATATAAAATGAAAAGAAATAAAGATATAATATTGCCTTGTATTCAGGTTTGAAAAAATCTCTGTCTAGAAAATGCGTGTGACATTCAGTAGGATTCAGAGGTGAAATCGTGTAATAAAATTACAATAGACGAATCGTTGAGATGACGTGATATAATTATTAATTGTATTTCGGAAGCGACATGAAATTGTGTACTAACGACGGATCCAGGGTCTGATGAAAGGGACAGTGTTCAATGGTTAAAAAATCGGCGAGCTTAAGATTTTTTTTCTCGATCAAATGGGAGGGGCCCCTCTACACCCCCACCAGAATGCACCACTGAGTACCGTGATGATTTGCGATAAATTGTTCTCTTTGATTTGAAAGCAACGGAATTGCATTTTTAAATAGCAACAATTTGATTTTTATCTATGTTCATTATGTTCATCTCCCATACATGATGTATCAAGAAAAGAGCTTATACGATATAATTGATATCTCTATAATTTCACAAAGTTTGCCCTTAAAATTATTTGAATTGCTCCAAATATCCATAATGATAATAATCATAAAACAATGAAACCAAAATTTCTAAATATTTAAACATTATATCTCATTAATTAAATCAGAAAGTTCTCTTTTAAATACTCATAAAAGGTTCTTCAAACACCAAGGGCATTTTAGGACTATATTTCCGGATCTGCAGGCACGGAAGATTGAGGGACATATTATAAACTATCAAACCATACTCTGCTGCGATTCCTCGTCTTTTTATTATTACACATTCTTAGTGTCTATTCTTTTAAGTTTGCGCTTATTTTGTTTAACCTTTTTTATCATTCCTGTCATGTAAGTAGTTATTGAAATAGGAAGTTTAGTGAGAACTATGCGTTTTTTTTTCTTCAGTTTTATGAGTATTTCAACTACTCAATAAGAGGGTAGTAATTTCCTTTTACCGTCAGGCGTCAAACTGTCATTTTCGGCTACCGTTAGATCAAATTGGTTAAAATTTTACCGTGATTCGTCAAAATATCATTATCGTGATTCGTCAGAGGTCTCAAATAATTATCGTTACCGTTATTTTTGGAAAAAAAATTACGTGATTCGTCAAAACCATTCTATTTTTTTAACGTCTAAAAGAAAGTGTACATCGTCATGCACCAAAATTTACCGTTATTTAAAGTCATTTGGGGCAAGAATTTTTACCGTTATTCGTCATGAAGGTAGCCCCATTAAGACCCTCCAATAAGACAAAGTCACAAAAACAAACATTTAGAGGTCATCGTCTTGGGTCATAGATATGCAATATAGATTAATTATTTATTTTATCTTTTTCTTTGCACCCAGCCAGACAACTTGTGGATGAATTCAACAGAGAAAACACAACTAATGTTAAAATCAAACTAACAATAGACAGAACCATAAAATGCTAACATCAACAATTGACGAGATTCCGGACTTCGCAGCCTTTTTTTAGTAATAAAACTCAACAAATGAACCCACTCTAAGAGTGACATTTGACACATTAAACACTTAATAATACTCAAAACCAGAAATAATACACTTCAGTCAATTATTTTGATATTGAGGAAAATCAAGACACAACTATAAGAAGTCACCACCATATAGTGTAACATAAAATAATGTCCCCATGAAATATTGTAGATCAGACAAAATTTCATATAAAATATTGTCCGCGGACACTCTATATTTATTAATGAAAAACTGTCCTCGATAATATTTCATTATCAAATAGTGTCGTTGTCCATGAAATTTTGTCACCTCATTCTGGATAATATTTCACTTATCATGTATATGGACATTATTTCATAGATAGGGACACAACTCCATGATACAAAGTCATGAAATATTGTCTGTCTTGGGGGGCAATATTTCATAGGACAATATTTTGCTTTACAATAGCACTCATTCAAAAAATACTTGCAGCATTACTGACAGAAAGATAAAAATAATAAAGTCGACAAGTGTCGTCTTGTGTAGCATAAAAAATGTCAATATTTTATGTCATTATCATATAGTGTCCTCTCTTTGACATGTTGTCAAGTTCTTTGGGACAATTTTACATTGGGAATTAATACTGTCCCTAATAATATTAGGTCTTTCCACTATTTTGTGGAAAGACCTATTGTATTTGTTCTGATTATTTTTGTTCTTCTTCCGCCAAATTTCAAAACTTGTTTTTGTAGTTTCTCAAGATGTCTCTTAGATTTTTTGCATATGATATCGAACAGTTATTGCGCTTTTGAGACTGACCCTGTTTAGTCGAAAACTTTTTATTGTAAGAGTTATCGCCCCAAACACTGTTTTCTTTGTGGTGAGATCTCCTCCGTAACCGTAAAAGAACGCGACAAATTTATTTTACTAAATTGCTCGTTATATTCTCAGGATGATTTGTCAAATTTTAACCGAATCAATTCGTAGACTCCATATGCCAGTTATTTCCCCTTTTGAATTTGACATAAGAGATATGTCAATGTATCACATGAATGGTAAGTAATACAGACCTAAGGTACGTGTATTTGAGGTCCTGGGTTCATAAAAATAAATTTGAGGTCAAGGTCATGTTCTAGATTTTGACTTTTCATTGTTCGGAGATCTCGTCTGACAATCTTAGAGATATATTTAAAAGAACTAATGCAAAATATTTGCCTCATTGTGACGAAGATATGATACATTTGGTCTGAAACAATCCAATGACATCTTGTAGGAGTTATTGTCCCTAAAATGATTCAATTTAAGGTTGATTGATTATTTCTCCAACTTGGTACATGATAAAGCCATAGGGTCTTTTGCAAACTGTTGGTTGACATATGACCTTGAAAAATATCAACCGGAAGTGACCTTGAGTAAACCGGAAGTAGCCATGTTTGCACTTATTTCATGAAAAAGTACCTAGAAACTAAATGTTTTTTAAATATGCATACATAAACCTATCATTTGAGACAGGAAGTGACCTTCACTTAACCGGAAGTACCTAACATCTCCATTATTACAGGGAAAAGTATATTGAAACCATATATTTTTGGAATCAGTGTAAATAAAGCTATCATGTGAGACCGGACGTGACATTTATAAAACCGGAAGTTGACAATTATCTCCCTTAGTTCAGGCAAAAAATATATAGAAACATTTATTTATTGAATCAGTATGAAAAACCTATGCTTGGACGCCAATAGTTACTTTGAGTAAACCGGAAGTAGCTTCTCATCAATAATTTAGAAAATTGATGTGGAAAGAGAGAACAATTGGTTTTTAATTTTACTATGAATTTCTGTCCATGACAATATTGCAGTGGTGGATCCAGGGGGGGGGGGGTTCGGGGGTTGGAACCCCCCTTTTTTTGACGATGAATGCATTTGAAAGGGGACATATAGTTGGAACCCCCCCCCCCCCCCCCCCTTTTTAAAAATGGCTGGATCCGCCCCTGTATTTCCTAATCAAAGTATGTCTTCTCTGAGTATTCCTGTGCTATGAAATTTTGAGAGTGTTTCTGGAATCCTTGAAAAGTTTGTGTAGAACCGTTAAATGCTGCATCAAATAATTCTCGTGTACAGTACAAATGCATGAAGCATGCGCATTTTTTTTTATACATAACTGAAAATATGTTGTAAGGCAAATATTTTATATACCAAACAAACATATATTTTAAATTTCAAATTTGCCTTTATAAATAGTCAAACATGTTAATTGTTTCATGTTCTTCTGTTTAGATACAGCACTGGTAATCACTTACAATATATATTTGTAATTATCAATAAAACAAAAAAATAAAAATGAAGTATTCACTCAATATACACAAAATATTACTTTGGATAACCTCCCTTTAACAAGACAAAATGTCGTTACTATCAATCTATGAAATATTGTCCAACATTTTATAAGGAATTTTGTTCTTCTTTGGATATTTTTCTAAGATGGGGACAAAATTTAATGATACATACTCATGAAGTATTGCTCTTGCACTGCATTATATTAACCACTAAACTTCGAAATAGATTGCATACAACAACGTCACATATATTTTACCCTTAATTTATTACCGACCGTGCGAGGGCTTTATAGCCAGTCAAGGTCGGTAAAATCCCCAATCATCAACCCTTAATTTATTTGAAGATGATCGACATATTATTACTAGTTGTCCAGCATACAATATTGATAAGGAGATATTTTTCAAGGAGATAAACAATATTTTTCAAGGAGATAAACAATATTTTTCATAACTTTTCAGATCTCTCAAATGAGGCAAAATTTGTTTGGTTATTTACTAATAGAAATTTGTGTGTCCTACAATATTAAGGGAATTATTTTAATTAAATGTCCAGTATTAGACGAAACGTCAATCAATATACGTAATAACGATGATTATTGTAATGATTTTAAGGTTCTGGTCCTGCCTGGAATAAATGTACATGATTTATATAAGATGAAGAAATACATGTAGCTCTATAACTATATGAACATTTAATATTTCATTTCAATGTTAAAAAAAAAGGTTTTTTGTTACAAATCATATGAAATGCTGCCCATCAAGGGCCCTTAATTGGAACAATAAAATATTCTATATTTTTATTCTGGATAGTTTAGAAAACCCTGATATTGA